AAATAGAAGAGACGGAAAGAAAGAGAGAAAGGGAAGGGAAGGGGAGGGGAGGGGAGGGGAGGGGAGGGGAGGGGAGGGGAAGGCAGGGGAAGGGAGGGGAAAGGAAGGGGAGGAAAGGGGAGGGGAGGAAAGGGGAGGGGAGGGGGAGGGGAGGGGAGGGAAGGGAGGGGAGGGAAGGGAGGGGAGGGAAGGGAGGGCAGGGACCATGTGAAGACATAGAGGAACGATAGCTGTTGACAAGCCAGGGATAGGACCTTAGAGGAAACCAACCTTGCTGCTGACACCTTGATCTTGGGCTTCTAGCTTCCAGAGTGTGAGAAAATTAATTTTGGCTGTTTAAGCCTTAAGCCACCCAGTCTGGGGAACTTTGTTAAACTCCCCAGCCCCCCATCAGACTAACAAACCAGCAATGTGGACTGATCTTGTAATCATATATACAGAATTATATCATTTATATAAGGTTCAAATCAGTCAAGATCAAACTGTTGTGTAAGGATGTGTATACAAATGGTAAAATGATGAGAGCAAGAAAGGGGTTACCAAAAAATAAGAAAAATGGGAGGTGACACATAAAGCCTGGAAGTGGTGGCAATATCCTGCTTCTTCACTGGGGCTCTGGCTACTCAGGTGTTCTCTCTAGAATCGTGCACTGAATGGAACCTTTATGTGTTGTGCACGTTGCAGTATTTATTTATAATAAAATGTTGTGAAAAGAAGACAGAAGCAGGTGGGGGAAGAGGAAAAGCAGAGAGAGAAGGAATAAGGAGAGGGAAAAGGAGGGACAGGAGGAAGGACGAGAAGGGGGAGGGGAAGAAATAAACCAGTGGGCTGCCCTGTACCAGGTAGGGTGGTCTAAGAGCTGTGAGACCACAGCTGTCAGTTAGAGGTGGGTCCAAGGCTCAGGTGCTGCTTCTGAGTGTGAACCTGAGCCCAGAATCTGTCCCCTAGAGAAGGTTTAGAAACTCTGTAACCTAGGGAAAGCCAGAGTATTTTTCTGGGATTTGTTTCTTCATCTTTAGACTGGGTAAGACAAACACCTCTCAATAAATGTTGTAAGCCTCTTCCTTTTACTAATTCAGGTCTCTGGTCTGATGTCACCTCCTCCAGGGAGCCTTCCTTAATGACCTCTTGAAAATAGCACCTCGCCTGTCGTCCCAGCTACTCGAGAGGCTGAGGCAGGAGGATCGCCTGAGCCCAGGAGGTCGAGGCTGCTATGAGTCATGATTGCACCACTACACTCTAGCCTTGGTGGTACAGAAAAACTCTGTCAAAAAAAAAAAAAAAGGAAGGAAAAATAGCACCTTGATGTGGCTCGGCTCCAAGTCTCATCTCAAATTGTAAACCCCACATGTTGGGGGAGGAGCCTGGTGGGAGTGATTGGGTCATGGGGCTGACATCCCCCTTGCTATTCTCCTGATAGTGAGTCAGTTCTCGTGAGATCTGGTTGTTTGAAAGTCTTGGTACTTCCCCCGTTGCCCTCGCTCTCTCGCCTGCTCTGCCATGGTCAAGGCCTTCCACCATGATGGTAAGCTTCCCGAGGTCTCCCTGTCTTACTTCCTGTTAAGCCTGCAGAACTGTGAGTCAAACCTCTTTTCAACCAATTACCTAGTCTCAGATAGTTGTTTTTCTTCTTTTTTTTTTTTTTTGAGACAGGGGTTCCTTCTGTTGCCCAGGTTGGTGTGCAGTGGCGCAATTTTGGCTCATTGTAACCTCCCAGGTTCAAGTGACTCTTCTGCCTCAGCCTCCTGAGTAGCTGGGATTACAGGTGCCTGCCACCGTGCCCAGCTGAGTTTTGTATTTTTAGTAGAGATGGGGTTTCCCCTGGTTGGCTAAGCTGATCTTGGTCTCCTGACCTCAAGTGATCCGCCCGACTCGGCCTCCCGAAGTGCTAAAATTAGAGGCATGAGTGTCTGTTCTCAGATAGTTCTTTATAGGAGTGTGAAATGAACTAATGTACACCTTCTTTCATTCGTTTTCCATTTATTTTTCTTTTGGTTTTTTTTTTTTTTTTTTTTTGAGACGGAGTTTCGTTCTCGTTACCCAGGCTGGAGTGCAATGGCGCGATCTCGGCTCACCGCAACCTCCGCCTCCTGGGTTCAAGCAATTCTCCTGCCTCAGCCTCCCGAGTAGCTGGGATCACAGGCACGCGCCACCATGCCCAGCTAATTTTTTGTATTTTTAGTAGAGATGGGGTTTCACCATGTTGACCAGGATGGTCTCGATCTCTTGACCTCATGATCCACCCGCCTCGGCCTCCCAAAGTGCTGGGATTACAGGCGTGAGCTACCGCGCCCGGCTTATTTTTCTTTATAGTACTTAATACTGTTGATAGGGGCCGCGGTGGCTCCAGCCAGTTGTCCTGGCGCTTGAGGAGGCGAGGCCATGAGTTCAAGGCCAACCTGAGCAAAGTTACGAGCCTTCATTGATTGACCAAAAAAAAAAAAAAATTTTTTTTTGGCCGGGCGCGGTGGGTCACGCCTGTAATCCCAGCACTTTGGGAGGCCGAGGCGGGTGGATCACGAGGTCAAGAGATCAAGACCATCCTGGTCAACATGGTGAAACCCCCGTCTCTACTAAAAAATACAAAAATTTAGCTGGGCATGGTGGCTCATGCCTGTAATCCCAGCTACTCAGGAGGCTGAGGCAGGAGAATTGCTTGAACCCAGGAGGAGGAGGTTGCGGTGAGCCGAGATCGTGCCATTGCACTCCAACCTGGGTAACAGCAGCGAAACTCCGTCTCAAAAAAAAAGAAGAAAGAAAAACTGTGGTGCAGTTACAAACATTAGATAATGCTTCTGTGATGTCTGGCACCCCAGGCACTCAATAATTCTGGTTCTCTCCTCCCCTTTTAGCTGAGACCCCCGCGCTCATTTCCTGGGGCAGAGATGAGTAGCAACTCAAACACTTCACTCCCTGGGGCCAATTTGGAAGCTTCATCTGCCCCCTCCCCATGTCCTTGCTGAGGGTCACAGTCTCCCTGCCCCAGGGAAGGGTCCCTTTCTCTCAGAGCGGCTGAGCTGCCCCTGGGGGACCCAAGCAGTGCTTGCAGCCCTTTGGGTTGTTACCTCCGTTGATAGTTCACTGCTGTGGGCTTCGAGTGAGGCCCTGCAAACCCGAAGTAAAGGCTTCTCCCGTTCCTTCACCCTCATTAACTGCTCCCTCCTCCCTGTTGTTCCCACCCAGATGCCTATATTTAGTGCTGATTTTCTTCTGCCTTGTGTAGAGGTAGTTGTTTGCTTGTTTGCTTCCCCTGCCCCCTCCTAGACCATGAGCCCAGCTGTGAGGGGCCAGACTTTATTCATTGCTCTACTTCCAGTGAAGTGGCATCATTTGTCTGGGGTGATACTCAAGGTTCATTGCCTCACACCAAGGAAATCAAGGACCTGAATACGGTGAGGTGAAGAGCAGAGTTTAATAGGCGAAGGAGGCCAGGCATAGTGGCTCACACCTGTAATCCCAGCAATTTGGGAGGCCGAGGCGGGTGGATCACGAGGTCAATAGACCATCACCGCCAACATGGTGAAACCGTGTCTCTACTAGAAATACAAAAATTAGCTGGGCATGGTGGTGTGCGCCTGTAGTCCCAGCTACTCAGGAGGCTGAGGCAGGAGAATTGCCTGAACCCAGGAGGTGGAGGTTGCAGTGAGCTAAAATCAAGCCACTGCACTCCAGCCTGGCGACAGAGCAAGACTCCGTCTCAAAAAAAAAAAAAATAGGCGAAGGAAAAGAAAAGAGAAACACTTTCTCCTGCAGAGGGAGGGGTCCTGAACAGGTTTGCAGTCCACAGTGAAATGCAGGGGTTTTATAGATGAGCTTGAGGAGGTAGTATCTGATTTACATAGGGCACAAAAGATTGGTTGGACTAGGTATGCCATTTGCGTAAGGGATGAAAACGTGGTTAGGGCTAGGTGTGCTATTTGCCGTGTGCAAAAATCTGGCCACCCCCACCCTAATCTTTTATTATGCAGATGGGCTCTCTACCTGGCTGGCACCATGTTGCCTGTTCCTTTACACATGGTGACAAAGGGAAGTTGAAGCTTCCATGTTGAACATACCCAGCCCTCAGGCAGCCCTTTGCTATTGGCACAGATGCTGCTACTCACCCAGGCAGGCTTCCAGTTTGCCTAGCCATGTTTGCAGCTCAATTTTTCTGCTGCTCTTTGTTAGAAAAGCAATGATTTGGGGACCTTTTTTTTTTTTTTTGAGACGGAGTTTCGCTGTTACCCAGGCTGGAGTGCAATGGCACGATCTCGGCTCACCGCAACCTCCACCTTCTGGGTTCAAGCAATTCTCCTGCCTCAGCCTCCTGAGTAGCTGGGACTACAGGCGTGTGCCACCGTGCCCAGTTAATTTTTGTATTTTTAGTAGAGACAGGGTTTCACCTTGTTGACCAGGAGGGTCTCGATCTCTTGACCTCGTGATCCACCCACCTCGGCCTCCCAATGTGCTGGGATTATAGGCGTGAGCCACCGCACCTGGCCCTCTTTTTTTTTTTTAAAGGGAATTTCTGCAGAGTGCTCTTACCTTCACTGTCTCCCTAAATTATTTCTTTCTGTTTCCGCTATCACCAGTACCTAGCACATCACCTGAATTTTAAATCTTACTTATAGAGACAGGTTCTTGTTCTGTCACCTAGGCCAGAGGACAGTGCCGTGATCATACCTCACAATAACATCAGTCTCCTGGCCTCAAGTGATCATCCCACCTTGGCCTCCCAAAGTGTTGTGATTGTAAATGTGAGCCACTACACCTGGCCTTAATAGACACATTTTTTTTAAAGCTTCCGTTACAAAGGACAGATAATAGGATTTCAGGAGTTAAGAGGACCACAGACCAAACTTCCTTGACGTGCCATCTTCCAACTGAAATTCAAAAGCTACTTGAGACATAGAAAAGGACAAAAACTGAGAACCATTCAGAAAACTTAGTGGTAAATTGTTGGCCAGAGTCCAAGATGGAATTTTCCCTAATGACCTGCCAGTTGCGCCGGGTGAAGTCACGTGGTAGGTGGCCCGCACATACCTTGCCTTCTTAAGTGGCTCAGAACCTGCAGGCAGGAAGCTTGCAGGGAGAAGCTGAGGCCCTCACCCACCATATGGGGCTGCCGTCACCAGCAAATGGGCAGCACACTCCTAACACTCAGGTATGCTTTTCTGAGGCAGTCACCTCTGTCCACCTGCACCCCTTCCATTAGACTGTCTCTTCCTGTGTCTGTGGGGACACTGCGGCATTCAGTACCTATGAGCAGGGAGCAAGGTGGGATTGATGAGGGGGTGGCCTGGAAGGCCTGCTTGTCTAAGGGAAAGAGTGCAGTTTGATTTAGTAATATCTGATACACGGTAATATAGATACATTGTAATAATGAAATTGTATTAACCCAGTTTGAGGGTCTTTGGCTTTTAGTATAGTGCATTTCTTTTCATTCTGGTGTATCTGGTCTTCTTTCTTTCTTTTTTTTTCTCTTGGTGGGACCTAGGCTGCTGCCATAACAGGCAGTATGTACAGGTGCCTGGGTCTCTTTTTATTTTGGTTTATGGTTTCTCTTTTTCACGTTTGTCTTTGTTTTGCCCTCTGTGATGTGTGAGATGGCATCATGATGGAGGTTTTAGAGTCATGGTCTCGCTATATTGCCAGGCTGGACTCGAACTCCTGGTCTCAAACGATTCTCTAGTCTCGGCTTCCTGAGTAGCCAGTAGTAGAGGTGCACCACTGTGCCTGGCTGATGATTGTTTTTATCTTCTTCTGTGATTTGGAAAGTATATCGCCTATTGTTTTAATTCTGTCAATACCTTCAAGATTTTAAAGAACTTTCTTGAACCCATGTAATATAGTTTGGACTTCTCCAAATCTCACGTTGAGATGTAATCCCCAGTGCTGAAGGTGGGGTCTGGTGGGAGGTGTTTCGGTCATGGGCACATCCCTCATGGCTTGATGCTGTCCCTGAGATTGTGAGTTCTCGTGAGATCTGGTTGTTGTAAAGCGTGGCACCTCCTCACACTCTCTTGCCTGTGCTCTGCCATGTGAAACACTGGCTCTCCCTTTGCCATCTACCATGAGTAAAAGCTTCCTGCGACCTTGCCAGAAGCCAAACAGATGCTTGGCACCAGGCTTCCTATACAGCCTGCAGAACCATGAGCCATTTCAATCTCTTTTCTTTATAAATTACCCAGTCTCGGGTGTTTCTTTACCGCAATGCAAGAACAGCCTAAACACCATGTTTCTCTATCAGACTGAAAAGAAATCTATCATGTTTGCCTTCCTTCCAATGGAAAGTGAGAAGTTTTTCAGGCCCGACTTCCATGTCTCTCCATTAGAGGCCTAGGTCATCACCACTCTCTTTCTAAAGACGACATAGGTCTTATTTTTGCAAAAGTCGGTTTTAAATTTGGGGTCCATGTTTTAACCACGTTTATAATTCTTTATTTGGTTATCTGTGTTTAAGTGTTTTCCCCGTCTCCTGCAGGCTCCACTTACCATGGCTGCACAATAAATTATCCCCCAAATAGTGGCCGGGTGCAACGGCTCATACCTGTAATCCCAGTACTTTAGGAGAGGCCAAGGCAAGCCAATTACTTGAGGCCGGGAGTTCACAGCCAGCCTGGTCAACATGGTGAAACCCTGTCTCTACTAAAAACACAAAAATTAGCCAGGCATGGTTGTGTGTGCCTATAATCCCAACTACTTGGGAGGCTGAGGCAGGAGCACTGCTTAAACCTAGGAAGCAGAGGTTGCAATGAGCCGAGATCGTGCCACCGCACGCTAGCCTGGGTGACAGAGCGAGACTGTCTCAAAAACTAAAATAGGCCAGGTGCAGCTGCTCATGCCTGTAACCCGCCCCTGAGGAGGGAGGATCACTTGAGATTGGGAGTTCAAGACCAGCCTGGCCAACATGGTGAAACCCCGTCTCTACTAAAAACACAAAAATTAGCCAGGCGTGGTGGCGTGTATCTGTAATCTCAGCTACTCAGGAGGCTGAAGCAGGAGAATTGCTTGAACTCGGGAGGTGGAGGTTGCTGTGAGCCAAGATCACAGCACTGCACTCCAGCCTGGGTAACAGTGAGACTCCATCTCAAAAAAACATAAATTAAATAAACTAAATATAAGAATAAATTATCCCAAAACTTACTGCTTACAACAATAATCATTTATTACCTCTTGCTCTTTCTATGCATTTCAGTTTAGATAAGGTATAACAGGGATGCTTGTCTCTCCTCCAAAGAAACAGACATGAAATGTCTGAGGCCGGGCGCGGTGGCTCAAGCCTGTAATCCCAGCACTTTGGGAGTCCGAGGCGGGTGGATCACGAGGTCGAGAGATGGAGACCATCCTGGTCAACGTGGTGAAACCCCCGTCTCTACTAAAAATACAAAAAATTAGCTGGGCATGGTGGCGCGTGCTTGTAATCCCAGCTACTGGGGAGGCTGAGGCAGGAGAATTGCCTGAACCCAGGAGGCGGAGGTTGCGGTGAGCCGAGATTGCGCCATTGCACTCCAGCCTGGGTAACAAGAGCGAAACTCCGTCTCAAAAAAAAAAAAAAAAGAAATGTCTGAGGCCTCAGCAGTAAAACTCCAAAGTTGAGCCTCTTGCTTAGCTAGACTCATCTGAAGGCTCATTTACTTGAAGTTGGTGCTGGCTGTCACTCAGCTGGAGGCCTGGTTGGAGCAATTAACCAGAACACCCACACATGGCCCCTGGTGTGCCTGGCCTCCCTCACAACATGGTGGCTGAGGTCCAAGGCCAAGGCCTCCAGAGAGAGCGAGCCAGGTGGAAGCCACTGCCTTTTATGTAACCTAACCTCAGAAATCATTCAGTGTCACTTCTGCTGCATCCTGTTGGCTGGGACAGTTCCCAAGTTCCGCCCAAGTTCCATGGAAGTGCGTCAACATCACTTTGTAAGAGGAACGTGTGGGGTGCCCACGTATGTACACGCGTGTGTGCATGTATACACATGTGCATACATATGTATATGTCGATACGGTCACCTTTGAAGAGAGGTGTATTTCCATCAGCCATACTGTATTTCCTCACATTCTTGATTTTCAACTTATGTTTCAGTCAGTTGCAGGGTGTATGTGAGTAAGGAGGACTGCAAGGGTAGATGCCTGAAAGCATCTATGAGTCTCAATGTACAGTATGTAAAACGGCCATCTTCTTTCTCATTTTAAATTTCATAGTCAGGTCTGGTAGCTCATGTCAATCTTAGCACTTTGGGAGGCCAAGGTGGGTGGATCACCGGAGGTCAGGAGTTTGAAACCAGCCTGGCCAACATGGCAAAACCCCATCTCTACTAAAAATACAAAAATTAGCTGGAAGGGAGGGGGTATGGGAATGGCGCATGCCTGTAGTTTCAGCTACTGGGAAGGCTGAGGCAGGAGAATCGCTCGAACTCAGAAGGTGGAGGCTGCAGTGATCTGGATGGCGTCACTGCACTCCAGCCTGGTCAACAGAGTGATAGTGTGTCTCAAAAAAAAAATTAAAAATTCATAAGGCCAGGCACGGTGGTTCACGCCTATAATTTCGGCACTTTGGGAGGGCAAGGTGAGAGGAGGGCTTGAAGCCAGTGGGTGTTCAACACACTTGCCTCCCCACCTGTGTCTCCATTTGCACTCTCATTTCAATCTTCCCGACCTACACGTGTGTCTGTTCTTTGCATTCTCTTTTGAACTGGTTGCGGGCTCCTACTGGGTCCCTCATTAATAATGAGTTAAATAAAATCCAGAACACATGTGCATTTTTTTTTTTTTTTTGAGATGGAGTTTCGCTGTTGTTACCCAGGCTGGAGTGCAATGGCACAATCTTGGCTCACCGCAACCTCCGCCTCCTGGGTTCAGGCAATTCTCCTGCCTCAGCCTCCTAAGTAGCTGCGATTACAGGCACGCACCACCATGCCCAGATAATTTTTTGTATTTTTAGTAGAGACAGAGTTTCAGCGTGTTGACCAGGATGGTCTCGATCTCTGACCTCGTGATCCACCCGCCTCGGCCGCATGTTCATTTTATAGCTGCATGAGAATCCTAATTTGTTTGGAAATTATCCTTTATTTTTTGTGTTTTATCATTTTTTTTGAGACGGAGTTTCGCTGTTGTTACCCAGGCTGGAGTGCAATGGCACAATCTTGGCTCACCGCAACCTCCGCCTCCTGGGTTCAGGCAATTCTCCTGCCTCAGCCTCCCGAGTAGCTGGGACTACAGGCGCGCACCACCATGCCCAGCTAATTTTTGTATTTTTAGTAGAGACGGGGTTTCATCTTGTTGACCAGGAGGGTCTCGATCTCTTGACCTTGTGATCCACCCACCTCGGCCTCCCAAAGTGCTGGGATTATAGGTGCGAGCCACCGCGCCCAGCCCTGAAATTATCCTTTAACATTCCTTTTCTGAAAGGTTGAGAAACGATGCCTTTGACTCTATGACAATGTAGCAGGCATGATTTAATGATACTGATAGACACTAGACTGCACATATGCAGATGCAGTGCGGTTAAAACTATATTTAACATTAATAAGAAAAAACACTCAAAAAGACCAAAATGTGTTGGACTGTTTAATATTTTTCTTCCTTATATTTTTCAAAAATTTAAAAATATAGGCTGATACTCCCTTTGTAGAGAAATCCAGTGAAGCTAAACTCTAAGCCTTTGTTTTATTGAGGGATTAGTCATTGTTTATGGTTCTCAAAGGGCTGGGAGGGGCTTCCTGGTCTCTGCGCAGTCACTGGGGTCAGAAGGAGTGCTGCTGGAAAGTGAGGGAACATATGATTAATAGTAATAATAATAATAATAAATCAGTACATGTAGCGTCCCAGGAATTGTGCCAAGCAGTATCTCATTTAACTCTTACAATAGCCCTTTGAAGTAGATCCTGGTAGATGGTATTCCCATTGGCTAGGTGTGGTGGCTTATACCTATAATCCCAGTATTTTGGGAGGACTAGGTAGGAGGATTGCTTGAGCCCAGGAGTTAGAGACCATCCCGGCAACATGGTGAGACCTTGTCCCTACAACAAAATAAAAAAATTAACCAGGCATGGTGGTGTGCATTCCCGTAATCCCAGCTGCTGGGGAGGCTGAGGCAGAAGGGTCCCTTGAGCCTAGGAGATCGAGACTGAGGTAAGCTGTGATCACACCATGGCACTCCAGCCTGGGCGACAGAGTGAGATCCTGTCTCAAAAAAAAAAAAAGGAAAAGAAAAAAATAGCATGCCCATTTTACAGATGAGGAAACTGAGGTTAGGAAACTTAGGTTAAGTGACTTCCTCAAGTAGTATGTGGTGGAACAGAGCCTGAGACATGGGCTCTAATGTCCCTGCTACCCTGTGTAATGTGAGAAATGTTGGGACGAAGTCCTGGGATCTCCTCCTGAAGAATCGCCCCCACTGCTGGATCCAAGCCCTCAGAATCAATTCACCCATCAAACATTTTCTGAACCTCTTCTGTGTTCCAGGCCCTGAGGATAAAAGGTGGTCTGAGTCTTCAACTAACTCGGGAGCCAGGGTGAGGAGCCAGGGATGGGCGTCGGCCAAAGGAGGGGCACTGGCAGGGGTGGGGAGGGTGAGGAGCCAGGGATGGGAGTTGGCCAAAGGAGGGGCACTGGCGGGGGTGGGAAGGGTGAGGAGGTGCTTCCAGGAGGAGGTGGCAGCCCACTTGAGTCTTAAAGTATGGGAAGAGTCAGCCTGGTAAAGGGGTGAGGGTTGAGAACAGGCATTGAGGGCAGAAGAAGGGCTTGAGCAGAGAGGGAGAGAAACATCTGAGAAGCACCGTCAGAACACTCACTCCAGCTCCGCTGTCCACCTGCCTCCATTGTCCCCGCTTCTGCTTCTGCTGTGGTTACCAGAAGCCGTTTTGTTCGGTGGGAAGGTGGGCACAGTGCATTGCTAGGGGTGGGTACCTGAACATGCCAACCAGAGCCTGATTTTCCCAGAATGTTTGAGTGCAGGTCAGATGGTCTCTCGCAGGGCCGGTTGGTGGGAGATGCAGCCTGCAGGAGGGCATGGCAGTGAGTGTGCAGAGGGCACCACAAGACCAGGCTGTCTGAGCAAGGACTTGACGCACCTTTGGGGTCCCGCTGCGGGCTCAGCATGGGTTCTGGGACACATGCCAGGGCCTTCTTAACACATTTCTTGTTTCCTTTAGATTGTCCAAATTGGGTTTCTGTCACCTGTAACCAAAGATCCCTGCTGACACAGCCCCTGAGTTGGTCAGACTGAGAGGGACATTTAAGCTAACTCAGAGAGGCTGACTGTATCAGGAAGCCAACTGACTCATTTCCCGTGAGAAATGCCACTGCTCCTTGGGTCAACCTTTCACATCATTACTGCCGGTGTCTCCTTTCCCTGGAGAAAAGCCACCCGGATTGACGACTGGTCTCTTGAGCAGGCCGCGGTGCCAGCGAGGATCTATAGCTAGAGGCATCAGGCACGGACTGCCCAGGGGTCCAAAAACTGTTTCCGTTAATGTCCAGACAGTAAATATTTTAGACGCGGCGGTCTCTGTCGAAACCATTAAACTCCATCATACTGCAGTGTGTAAACAGCCAAAGACAGCATGTAAATGCATGAGCATAGCTGTGTTCCAATAAAACTTTACTTATGGACATTGAAATTTGGATTTCATACAATTTTCATGTGTCCTGATATATTACTCTTTTTTTTGAGATGTAATCTCGCTCTGTTGCCCAGGCTGGAGTATTCTGATGCAATCTCAGCTCACTGCAACCTCTGCCTCCTGGGTTTAAGTGAGTCTCCTGCCTCAGCCTCCCAAATAGCTGGGATTACAGGCACACACCACCATGCCTAGCTAATTTTTGTATTTTTAGTAGAGAAGTGATTTCACCATGTTGGCCAGGCTGGTCTTGAACTACTGACCTCAAGTGATCCACCTGCCTTGGCCTCCCAAAGTGCTGGGATTACAGGTGTGAGCCACTACGCCTGGCCAATATGTTACTCTTCTCTCAACTTTTTCCAGTGGTTTAAGAATATAAAAGCCATTCTTAGCTCTCAGACCAAGCAGAAGCAGTGATGAAGAACCAGATTGAGCTTTGCAGCCTGCAGTCTGCCTCCTGTTGGTCTAGGGCGTGAACACTTATGCCAAGAAAAAAGATGATTGACAAGGAGGCTGGACAACTGGGTCGGTGGGCCAGTCCAGGGATACTGCTGGGGCCGCTATCCAGGCTTGTCACCTTAGCTTCCTCTTCTCTGGCTATTCAGACCACCCTCTTCAGTCTACACCCTCTTGAAGAAGCTCAGGAACAAGGCGTGGGCTTAGGTGCTTAGAGATGATGACGTGTCTAGTCTTGCCTCCTAAAATTTAGCCTCGGACCACCTTGTTGCAGCCGCTCCTGACACTTCTAGGTGCAGCTGTCCTGCCCCCATCCCCTGTGAGAAGCAGATTATGAAAGCCCGCCCATCCTACCCCACACAACCCAGGAGCCAGCGGCCAGGAAGGGAATAGGCTGGCTGCAACCGCTGACTCGTGCCTTGGCTTGAAAGCATGAACTGTCTTTTGAGAGGGGTCTTAAAAGACACAGTGGGAAGCTGCAGTTAGAAGTGGGCTCTGTGGCCCGGCACGGTGGCTCACACATGTAATCCCAGCACTTTGGGAGTCTGAGGTGGGTGGATCACTTGAGGTTAGGAGTTCAAGACCAGCCTGGCCAAGATGGTGACAACCTGTCTCTATTAAAATACAAAAATCAACCAGGCTTGGAGAGGCATGCGCCTGTAGTCCCAGCTACTCGGGAGACTGAGACAGGAGAATTGCTTGAACCTGGGAGGTGGAGGTTGGAGTAAGCCAGGATTGGGCCACTGCACTCCAGCCTGGGTGACAGAGTGAGACCCTGTCTCAAGAGAAAAAAAAAAGTGGGCTCTGTGGCTGAAAGGCTGAGTAGACTCAGGGACCAGGGTGGTTGTAGGAGGCCAGATGTCAGCTGAAGTTGAGGGGATGGAGATTGGTAGGAAGACATAACAGTGGGTACCCTGGAGACAGAGACAGACTGGTTGAAAGAGAGACACAGCAGGTGAATCTCAGACCTGCCCGTTTCTGGCCCTTACTGAGGCTTGACTAGGGGGCTCCACTGTAAATTCGTAGTCTCCTTCCCCTATACCTGGGGTAATCTGGGTAATCCCAATGCTTCTCCGATGCGTTCTATCAAACCAGAAACTGTGGAATAGGTAATTTCTTTCATTCTTTTTTTTTTTTTTTTGAGACGGAGTTTCACTCTTGTTACCCAGGCTGCAGTGCAATGGCGCAATCTCGGCTCACCGCAACCTCTGCCTCCTGGGTTCAGGCAATTCTCCTACCTCACCCTCCTGAGTAGCAGGGATTACAGGCACACTCCACCATGCCCAGCTAATTTTTTGTATTTTTAGTAGAGACGGGGTTTCACCATGTTGAGCAGGATGGTCTTGATCTCTTGACCTCGTGATCCACCCGCCTCGGCCTCCCAAAGTGCTGGGATTACAGGCTTGAGCCACCGCGCCCGGCCCGGTAATTTCTTTTGATTCATTTATTTTTAAATTTGAATAAATTTTTGGGATACAAGTGTAATTTCGTTACATGCACAGAATTGGTAGTGGTGATGTCAGGCTTTTAGAGTATCTATCACCCAAATAATATACATTGTACCCATTACGTGAATTATCATCATCCATGCCCCCATCCCCTCCTGTGTGTCCACTCTCATTCCACACTCTACACCCATGTGTGTATAGTATTTAATTCCCACTTAGAAGTGAGAGCATGAGTATTTGTCTTTCTGGGTCTGACTTGTTTCAGACCTCCAGTTCCATCCACGCTGCTGCAGAAGACACAGTTTCATTCATTTTGTGTCTGAATATGATTCCATTGGGTATATAGACCATATTTTATTTATCCAATCATCTGTTGATGGAGACATAGGTTGATTCCATGTCTTAGAAGAGGTCATTTCTCCTGTCTGCGAGCTCCTCCTGAGCTTCTGACCTTACTCTCCAAGGAAACTCTTCACTTCATGTTGGGGACTTTCTGCTGTATCGGTGTCTGCAGGTTGGAATCTTGCTTCAGCCACAAAAATTCACAGTTGTGTTGCCGGGGTCTCACTTCCCTCACCTCTTAAATGACTGTCCTGCATCATGCACGATTTACTGTGACAATGTTGAACTTTATCTGAGCCCTGGCAATTCTCCTGCCTCAGCCTCCTGAGTAGCTGGGATTACAGGCACGCGCCACCATGCCCAGCTAATTTTTTGTATCTTTAGTAGAGACGGGGTTTCACCATGTTGACCAGGATGGTCTTGATCTCTTGACCTCGTGATCCACCCGCCTCGGCCTCCCAAAGTGCTAGGATTACAGGCTTGAGCCACCGCGCCCGGCAGAGGACCACCTTAAGCTAGCATCTCATGGAAACACAGATCTCCATCCTTTCTTACTATTCTCTAAAACTCTCTGATGACTCCTTTGTTTACCTGCCTCTCTGAAACCCCAGTTCCCTTTGAGACGCTCCTCATCAATGAACATTCTCCCAGTTGCAGTGTCCTGAATGAAATCTTAACTGTCTGGGGCCTTTTGCATTCACAATGACCATAACTGTGTTGTTGTAAGCGTCAATCCGGGGAAGCGGCCGGAGTCCCAGGTTCCAGTCCTGGCTCCTCCATGTCAGGCTTCCCCTTCCGGCCAGTTTCAGGTCTCAGCTGGGAACTCCCTAAGGGACCCTGGCTTAGGAATACCGGTGAGTGACAACCCAGTCCTAGCCTGGGCAGAGCGAGCTGCGTAACTTTTGCACGCCGCCACCAGAGGGCGGCGGCTCCGCGGAGGAGGGTCCCAGCCTTTGTGCCCGCTCGCACCCACAGCGCCTTTAACACGCGCGCATTGGAAGTGGACGCCACGCAGCCTGCTTTCCTGCGCCCCGGCTGCACTCCAGGCGCCTCCCTTCCGCGCCCGCACGCGGCGAGTCCTCCCATTCCGCAGGTCACGCCGCAGGACTCTCGAGTGGGCTGGAGGGCTGGAAAGCCAGCCTGGAGCTTCGGGCCTCTAGCACTGCGCAGGGCACGAGGTCCCTGCGTCTCTGCAGCCGCTGGCCGCTCTCCTCTACTTGAGCCAGGCTGAAGGCTTCCTAAGGCAGCGGGGAAATGGGGAGAAGGGACAGGAGCCCCAAGAGCGCTGTCTCGGGTGGGGCATTTAGCCAGTCACACCCATCAGCCCTTTGGAACGTCACAGCGTCCCCTTAAAGTGGGCAAGACAGGAACTGTTGCCCCGCCTGAAAGACGGGCAAACAGGATCCCAAATAAAAAAGTTAATTAATTAGTAGAGCTAGTAAATGGCAGCGTTAGGACAGGAACGCAGTTCTCCTAGCCCCAGACCTGGAGCTCTTGGAGCGGGGCGGCACAGAGATGGCTCTCTGCTTGGCATGAGTAAACTGGTCGCCCCAGCAGAAAGGGGCGCTGCATATCCCCTGCCGCAGGACGGCGACCCGGACATCACCATGCAGCCGCTTTTGGACCCAAATTGTAGCTATGCACAGCTGCATTTGATCGTGTTTGCTTTTTTTTTTTTTTTTTTGAGAGGGGTCTCGCTCTGCTGCCCACGCTGGAGTACAGTGGAGCGATCTCGGCTCACTGCAACCTCCACATCCCGGGTTCAAGCGATTCTCCTGCCTCAGCCTCCTGAGTAGCTGGGACTACAGGCTCTTGCCACCACTACAGGCTCTTGCCACCATGCCCAGCTAATTTTTGTATTTTTAGTAGAGACAGGGTTTCACCATGTTGGCCAGGATGGTCTCGATCTCCTGACTTCAAGTGATCCACCTGCCTTGGCCTCCCAAATTGCTGGGGTTGTAGATGTGAGCTGCCACATCTGGCATGTTTGCTTTTTAAAGTACATATGTCTACATACACATTTTAGAAGCAAATAGAAATACAAAAGCCAACCTGTCCACAGTGGCTGTCTGTGGGTAATGGAAATCACATTTTCTGTCTATTGTTCAAAATATTCACTACTAGCTTATATAAACCAGAAAGAGGAACAATAATTCACGACTTTTGTTTCACGAAAGAATAATAATGCTTCAAATAATAATAATATTTCCTCTTCAAAGAATTGGAATATACAGGCTGGGTGCAGTGGCTCATGCCTGTAATCCTAGCACATTGGGAGGCCTAGATAAGAGGATCCCTTGAGCCCAGGAGTTTGAGACCAGCCTGGGCAACATGGCAAACCCCATCTCTACAAAATAATAAATGAATTATTATTATTTTATTGATTAAATAAAAACTGGAAAATAGAGAATGCAGAAAATAAAATTCATCAGTACCCCTCTTCTGGATGTTGAGATTTTCCTTTTTTTTTTTTTCTTGAGACGGAGTTTCAATCTTGTTACCCAGACTGGAGTGCAATGGCACGATCTCGGCTCACCGCAACCTCCGCCTCCTGGGTTCAAGCAATTCTCCTGTCTCAGCCTCCTGAGTAGCTGGGACTACAGGCACGTGCCACCACGCCCAGCTAATTTTTTGTATTTTTAGTAGAGACGGGGTTTCACCATGTTGACCAGGATGGTCTCGATCTCTTGACCTCGTGATCCACCCGCCTCGGCCTCCCAAAGTGCTGGGATTACAGGCTTGAGCCACCACGCC